AGAGACAAATTCACTAAAAGATAGTACAGCTTTAAGTAATTCTTCTGTGTAGTATATATGCGCGTATGACTGATGGATCAGCAGTAACAAGGTCGGTCAAACTCTTAGATCCGACGCTTTGAATTAAATTTGAATGTGATTTTAAAGGTTTATTATTAAATTTTGATTGTTTAATGGTGTATGTTTGAACTTTATGAGATTTTTTATTATAGAAAACTAATCAAATCGTGACATTTTTCCCTTTAGGTTTATTTCAGATAATTTAGATTGATGTTTGACAGAAAAAAAATGCAATAAAATGTTAAGAAGCAGAGAGAATATAGCAGAGTACAGCAATAAAAGTGTATATAAAGATTTTTGCCTTGATTTTGATCCGTAAGTTTGTATGGCAGCTATAAGCTATAGTCGTTAGATCTAAACAATGGCAAATAAAAATGTTTTCCATACAAGGACTAGAGTTTGATCGACAAGTTTGTATGACAGCTATATGTTATAGTCGTCCGATACGAACAATTTGTTTTTTTTAAGCTCCTGTCAATATTCTTCAAAAATATTTACGGAAAGTTTCCAGTGGCAACCCAACCATTTAGAGGTGTATTTTCGAAAAGTGGGTAGTGCGTGAATTGCCAAAAAAGTATTAAGAAAAATATTACTCTTTGATCATTTCCGTTAATCATCTACAATTCTTTGAAATCCACCAAGAGATAACACAATGCTGCCGGACTGTTTCTAAAATACCGAAGTTTGAAGATTTTAACGCCTCTGAGGAAGCAATGTAGATTTCTATGAAATTTTAGAGAAATTATCTCCAGAGACTGAGATTTGGCTTTATTAATTTTTATAATACTGTACCTTTATCTAACATAAAATGATAATGCTTGTTTCCAGCAACGTAGCGCTAATGAGTCATGACTGTAAGACGTTGTCATCTTTGTAATAAACAAAGCTGCACAATTCTTCAAAACTTTGCACGAATAATATGAAATAATGTTTTCATTATCTTAATTTCCTTAACTTGTTTGCACTTATTGCCAAAAGACATTTCACATAATTATTCCAACCAAATTTTATAACTCTGAAAAGCTTTTTCTGCTACAAAAACAAAATGAAAAAAAAAATAGCTTGATAAGCTGAGCTGACTATCTGTGTACGCATTTTGTAATATCACAGCTAACAATGGGCCAACTGGAGACAAATGAGGTGTTCCTATCGCTAAAAACGTCTATCAAAGTGAATGGCATAGCATGTCGTGCCACTTGTGCGCTAATTGGCAAATATATACAGGCATACATATAAATAATAAAAATAATAAAAAAGAAAATGAACAAAAACAAAAACAATTCGCACATGCCATGAATGGCACTTATCGACAAGCAGTCTGTCGGTTGGTTGGTTTGTTGGCCCGTCAAAATGGCCGAAGGTATGTACATGCGACCTTGTGCCGACAAATGCTTCCAATGGGAAAGCGCCTGAACTCGTACTAATTTTTTTAAATTAATTTATAGGTTTATGATAGTCACATGGTCGCCTCTCCCAATTGGCGTAAGGCCAAAGAATGCAGACGTGCAGAAAGTGGAAAGTAGCAATTGTGTTTCAGCAAAAGTGGAGTGTTTGCACGATCTGATTAGGCTTTGTTAGTGCTGTAAGTGGATAGAGCAATTTTTTAAACTTTGCTGCTACAATTACACTTACTTTGTAGAGATATGCGTTTTTTAAGTCCTCAGAATTATCTCGATTTTCTAAAGTGTTTTCTGGAAAGCGAAAAATAAACACACCTCTCTGTTTTAAGGGTTTATTTAATTTTTTAATAAGAAAGTTGTTAGGTTATTATTACGATCAAAGCTAATTAAGAGTACTCAACACTTTTAATTGTAGATTATTAATTATAATATTTGTTTTAACAATAATAACTTCGTGTTCATTTCCGAGTTCCGCTTATCGAAATAAGCACACTAAAAATGTACGATGCCGTGTGTCTGTCTGTATGTCCCTAACCTAACTTTTTTATGAAGTTTTTGAAATATAATTTCCAACATGCTGAGGGCATTTATTGGCAGAATGCTGTTACAATGGCAACGATACTGAAACTCAATCGATACTGAGACACTTTGAAGGCTATAGCAACAACAATAATATTGTACAACTAAATTTTTAAGGTAGCGGATAAACGGAGCAAAATTATGGAGTTTTTTACAATTTCATCTAACATTGCGCAACAATTTTGAGAAATTTTTAGATTTTTAATGAACTTTGTATGTGAGCCACCGTGCAATTGAAAGTGTAACTTTGTCAGTGCCTACAACAGCTGATTTTACCTTATCGCAATTGACCCGTATTTGAACTGGCTAAGAGCTGTTATTTCGGAGCACTAACCTTATTTTGATCGTACCTTTACAATAACAATAAGCATAGTTTCGTACACGAAACCGAATTCTACACCTCAACAAAATTTTTCTTGATTTAATGTACCAAAAATTGAAATTTAAGCGGTTATATCCGATTGCAAGTCAGAAAAACGGCTTTTTTTTTAGAATTTATTGTTTGAAGAGTCATTTTATTTCAGAAATATAAAAGTAAATGTATAGATTTTACAGAATTGAATAATCGGTCATTCATTTTGCAAAATTTTGGTTTCCTTTAATTCCGTAGCCGATCTCCAGTAGGATCTCCGAAAAAAGGTGTCTGGTGGTGAACAATGTTTTCTATTTAAAATTATCTCAAATTCAAAAACCTAAAACAAAAATTGTATTACTATAGATAGACGAAAACTGTTAATGAACGAGGTACTAATCACAGTTTTGATTTTTGGCATAATGGTGTCTTCCGAAAAAAAGTCGTTTTTTGTGAAGAAATTTTCACTTCAGTGATTTTGATTTGAAATTGTTATCAATAATCTTATTCTTTCGATCATTATCTAACAAATATATCTGAGGTCGTTTGAAAATTTTAATTTGATCGGGAGAAATTCAGAAATCAACGCCTTCGAAAACAACGTTTTGAGAAAAAAGCGTCTAAGGTTTTGGAAGCCGATAACACTAACTTAACCTATCTCCGAAATTATTGCCGGATCAACTTCAAAATTTCAGAGAATATTCTCAGACATATGTTTATTTGATATACTTGTATGTATACCCAAAAACAAAAATCGATTTTTTAAATTTCATACGTGGATATAATCCATTAAAAAACAATATCTTGTTTACCAGTGCCATTTTTCTTTTTAGTTGGTGTCCACAACAAAGCATCTGTATAAAACTTATTTAAAAATAGTAATATTTACACTTTCCCAGTCGCTATTTTAGCAAATAGTTTCAGCATTGTTTTTGATGTAAATAACAATATTTTTCGAATCTCTTTCGTTGTACAAACATACATACACACAAGTATACATTTGTAAAAATTTAAATATTTTGCTTTCAGTTAAGTGTAAATTTAATTGCTTTAGGCTGACAAGTTTGCACTTTTGTGTTTATATGTGTCCGCAGCTGTGTTTATCAGTTGTCGCTATTATATTACATTTATTACGTTTTTAATTGTGCTCACTCTATATATATATATATATATATATATTATATATATTTTTCTCTATAAAACATATACTAATATTTGTACATATATGTAGGTATAAATATATTTGTATTATAACTATAATATATACGTATGAAAGGCTTTTGCGGTTTTACTGAGTAATTGTAATAATTTTTGCCACAAGCTATACGTAATTATCAATCCAGGTGCTAAGGGGCTGAAAAACTGTAGGTCTAAGTAATTAGGCGACAAGCGCGATAATTTCAAATCATTAGGGTAGAGTGAGAATCTATGTACATACAAATTTTCATACATATGTATATATAATGGGGCAGCACAATATACAGTTAACCGTGTGGGGAATTATATATGTATAATTGCTTGTCAAATACTGTAATACATAAAAAAAATTCAAACTGCTGGCGTTCCAGTTATCAAACGCTTGTATATAGATTGTGTTTAGCTGACGGATGGTAGAGCTGTTGCTATTATGATAACTCGCAATGCGATAAACAATTTGAAAAACTAGATATACATAATTTTTATACCTTGAACAAAATAAGTCTGTCCGTCTGTATATACGCATGTATGCATGTAGTCTAACAATGTTTGAGATATCGAGCTGAAATTTTGTACACGTCCGTTTTTCCCCAAGAAGCTGCTCATTTGTCCGGTTCTTGTATGGAAAATATTTTTATTTGACGAGATATCTTCACAAAATGTGGCATGGATTATTATTGTTGTTGTTGAAGCGGCAGAATTCTGCCGAGTTGACAGTCCTTGGCGGTATATAATCCGAGTCCATTGTATAAATCTACAAGTAACCAATCCTAAGTAGGCTCATACAATGGACCAGACTGTCGTGAGAACAGCATGGATTAATTTCGGACTGCTATGACATGTAACTGGCATAGGTACAAACTCACTGATCAAAATCAAGATAAAGATTTTTTTATATTCTAATATGCTATCAGCAATGCACCTTTAAAGGGTATTATAGTTTCGGTGCTATCAAAGTTAAATTTTTTTATAGTTTTTGGGATATGCGCGCACATCTATGTATTCATGTACATACATAATATACATGTATGTTTGAATATATGCCTGCAGCAATAACCGCAATAATAGAAACTATATCAAATGTATATCTAATTGTGTAAATTATTTTCAATTAACAAAACACATAGGTAACTTTGTAGAATATAAAGTAATACACTAAACATGCATATTTATACACACACAAGTATTTATGGTATATAGAACGATGCGAAGTGAGCACAGCATAAGAGCAATATACATATATATATATATACGATAGACGGAGGCTGCTGTTGTTATTGTTGCTGCTGTTGTTATTGTTGCTGCTGTTATTGTCACTCGGTGAAAGAATAAATGTTGTTAAATGAATATACAAAAAAAAAAAAAGTAGCAATAAAACAAACAAAATATAGCTAAATGTGAATTGTGTTCACCTTCAGGCTGTCTGCGTCTCCGTCTGTGTCTTTCTGTCAGCCGCGAGTGCGATTGCCTCAATGCGTCCAAGGCGTATGTCGTATGCGTAAAACTGACGCACACACTCTGTAGTGCGGGTGCGGCGTTGAGGGTGTTGCGGCGGCGACAACTACGACTACGCGGCTCCACAAGTTTTTGTTTTGCTCCCCAACTGTTGCCTCCACCACTGTGATATGATATGTTTTTGGTCGTTCTCGTTAGTAGTACACTTTAATTTTTGCTATTAAAGTGTGGGTTTGCTGTTGTTGTTGCTAGTGCAACCTTTTAAATGCGCGAATATTTCAATTGTTTGCATATGACAATCATGCCAACATCACGCACAACAAACACCAGTGATCACACTCTGATTGCCCCCGGACACATAACAACAATCAGACATATGTATGCTCATAGAAGCAACAATAATAATAACAATAAGAATAATGGCAATAAATGCGAACACACGTTTAGTATTTTATTAAATTAACTTTTGCAATTTGTTTAATATCTTGTCGTATTCAAAAATATACAAGCACACGCATATGGCTTTACTTGTTGGTTACTCTTTGCGTTTGAATTTTGCAATTAATGCAAACCCGAAAGACAAAAAGCGACACTTTGTCAATTTATTGGTTCATAAGATCAAATTTTTGCTGTTTTTATCACACTTCTACACGACGACAAATTATTACTTTTTGCGTTCTCCGGCCACCAACTGAATCACAAGCCACATCTCAACATTTTTGTGTGTTTTTTTTTTAACAATCGATATATACAATCTTGTCCGCGTAGCTAGCTGGCAGTCTGCCACACAACAGCCCAAGTATAGCCAAATATAAGTGCACTATAGGCGATAATATGTAAATATTTATTTAGGATAGCACAGCCATAAGACAATAAAGGAACACAAGTTTTTTCTTTAATTACTTAATTTAGCGAAAATGCAAAAATATATTGTGACTTCGTTATTTTCCTAAGAAATTCATTGTTATTTAGCGAACACCATATGCGCGAATGTCGAACACCAAAATAATACTTGACTGTAACGAAAACGAAACGGCGAAAACCACTTGACAATTTACACGCGAAACACACAACAAATGAGCAATGACGGGAAAAAACAACTGAGCGAAAAGCGGCGAAGCAAGTGTCAGAAGTGTTCGGGCGAATTGTTGCGCGCAAGTGCTGCCGTAGTTTGAATGTAGGGAATTTTTTGTACCTCTGTGGGAAAAAGATAAGAAAATTGCTTATCATCCTACATTGGCGTTTATGTGAAAAATTAAGTTACAATATGTTCAATAAATATTTATGAAATTAGTTTTTCCCCGGAATAAATTCTATGAATGTTTATGTACATTTATAAGAAAAGGAAAAAAATAAAATTTTTGTAAAGCGAGAAGTGTACCGTTTCATGATCAATATTTCCGGATATTACGGCGTGTTTACACAATACGCATTTCGGTACAGTAAGAAAATTTATTTTAAAATGTGGCTGGTGGGTCACAGCGGAATCGCTGGAAACTGCAATACCAATGATCTATAGAGTAAACCCTTACCTATATTTTATCAGATGGGCAACGAGTGGGCACTTCGCTACCTCCTTACACTCTAGCAGTGGTTCTATGGGCCTGCCATGAGCGTAGCAAGCGCTGGTCAATGACCAAAACTTGTGTGACTGGCTTTCTGGTCAAATTGGAATGCAAGAGGTAATGAAACACTCGCTCTTAGCGAAGTTCATCTCACCGCCATGGTATGAGTTCTGAATGGACACTGTAGGCTAACATGCGGTTAGGTTATATATCTGGTAGGATGCCAATCGCTAAATCTGTGTGTAAGACTTTCAACTGTCCAGCTTTTGCCTGATTGAAGTTGAAGAAGCTGGGTAGTTACACTTTCGGTGAGCCTGGCGAAATAGGATTGATGTTAGCCGCCTAAACAAATTTGTAAAAGGCACAAAGCGTTTAGTACAAGTGGATATATAAGGGTCTAGTGATATATATATATATATATATACAGGACCAGCGTTAACAACTGTCCAAGTGGGATCTTGCGTTACCTATGTTGCAATGGATGGATCAGAATGATATGGAATGCCTTAAGGGCATGAAGCATCGCTAAGATTTTGTGCAAAGACCGCGAACGAAAACTCACATGCTTTTACTCACAAGGTCTCGTAAGTACTGTAAGACAGCCTAATCATAGTAACAGCGATTCATGCGAAAAGTGCAGAGAAGTAAGCATGAGAATTGCTGAAACACCTCTACTTCTGCCCAGCCTTATGTAGAACTTGTTTTAAATGTCGAGGAGCTTCGCAGTTCAAGTGACTAGATAGAGTATCAAATTAGATATCAAGTCACTCATAAAGTTCACAAAAAAATTTGAGGCCTGTATGACGGATACTTTATCTCGAATGAAACTAAACCTCCATCTGGCATGACTTAGGAACAGTAGGTCTATGTAAGGCGTGACAGCCGGCCGAAATATGCTTGCAACCTACATATTTTTTCTGTAGTGATTCTAAAGCCCCAGTCGTTGTTGAAACATCCCTAGAGTAATTTGGAGGATGCTGCCGAATTAACAGTTCTTTTAAGGATAAAAATCTAGATCCGTGTGTCAGGCGTCATTCGAATCGCTCGATGAATCTAATATTTCAAATACAGATGAGCCGAGAGGTTCTCATTGTCCAGAAAATCAAAGACCGAATGAAATTTTAAACATTGGTGACTGGATTAGAACCTGTTAGTATTGATTTTATAGAAAATTGATAAAAGCTACAGATCCCAGCGCAATCTATGTGGTTTCTCGAATGTAGTTATGTATGTAATCTCAAATTTTGCTAAAGGCGAGTTTTCGTTTAAAGAAATATAGGTATATGTAGGTAGTTACTTTTAGGGAGTATTAAGGTTTTTGAACTTTGAAAAGGACTTTGTACTATTATTCGATCTACTCCCGCGAGACTCTTAAGTATGCCAACAATTACTGCACAAAAAACAGGTACACAGTCAAATTCAAAAGTAGCAAGTAAAACAACAATGGCCTCAGTAAAAAAAATACAATGGGAGACTATTTCCCAAGAGAACGAAAACCATTCGCTCAATAATTAATAAACATTTAATGGTCTTATAATGGGGAGAAAGCGGGTGCTATAAAGGACCCAAGGGTCAGAACAACATACAAACACACATTGATGCTAGCGCTTTAAAATATAGACAAGACAATACCTGCACACATGCGTACATGAATACAGTTATGTGCAAGAAAACGCAATTGAATGCCATTGACTAGGTGACTCGGAGGAAGGACAAAGCCCATGGCATTGAAATACTAATACATGCATACGTATGACTGTAGCAACACTGTGGCAAGGCGCAGCGCACTCGCACCAAACAATATAATGAAGAAGAAGAACAGAGAAATTTTGTTTAGACAAAGTTTTTCATAGACATGGCTGAGGATGTGCTTGCCTGTGTGTGTGCGGCACGGACTAACAAAGCAAAGTTAAAGAACAAACCATTTACAAATAGTATATATATACAAGTATATTTATGTATGTTTACGTGTGTTCGTGAGCTTGTAGTACATTATTGTGGCAAGGTTTATATCCTTGCAACACTCTTGCGGTCTTGTTTGTTGTGGAAAAACCAGGCGCAAATGTGTCTTGTACGTGTTGCGCCAGGCCAATGGCTTATTAATTGACTAATTGAGGCTTATACACGGCCGGCCGGCTGGCCGGCTGGCTGGCTAGCTGGCGTATTGACTCGCCACTTGCCACTTGGTGGTGCGGTTTAAGTGCAAACTGCGAGTAGTAAAGCATGCATGGGTGTATATTTATTGTTTTCTATAGTCAAATGGCACCTGTGTGTACAATGAGTAATCACCTAAATGACATTGGTTAACAAAAATAATAATTGTGGGCGTAAAGAACAGAATATCAACAAAAGTTAACGTAAAAAAATTTCAGAGAATGTACATATAAGATCACAGGACAATTCACCAAATAATTTTAAGCAAGGCTTCCAAATTGACAACCCTTAGCAAGACAAATATCTGTGGTCATTCCATACGACTATCTTGGAAGCATTTATCAATAGACGATCATCAAATATTAATGTTTTGATTGGGGTGAATATCATTAGCTTATTGAGCATTATACAAGTACATGTATAAAAGACAATCGCTGGAAGCCAAGAAAATTTTCGAAGACTTTTATTGTTTTCTCGGTATCAACAATTTCGACGATAAGGTTCACCATTTATACTGGAATCGTATAATCCTCATAGATTGTTGTGCCTAAGATATTTCCTACATGGTTCTTGCAATTTTTTATACTATATATTAAGGTTTTCATGAAAGAGAAGTTTGGAAATGCTTACCCAATAAGTAGAGTTCGTAATCGTGAAAAAACTGACCTGCTTTCTACTTCCTTATAATGCTACAAAGATCAGAGATATAAAGATTTTTGGCGTTGGTTTGATGAGCTAAATCAGGGCAAATGAACTAAAGATGAGGTCCGATTAGTCGGGAACTTTTCTAGCGTATTACTCAATAGTGGACACAAAATTGTATCGAAAACTGTAAGCACTGTTTTACAAAAAAGTTAATTGACATCAAGTGTACAAAAAGACAAGCACATCCTTGATTTCCTCCTGGGTATACCACCTGATCAAATTTGACCCGGACTGGCACGCTAATCGGATTGATTAAATCTTTTCTATGTTCGTGTGAGATTTGTGCCCATATGTCAATTGTGTGTGTTTGGCAGCTGTTTGTTTACGACGCGAAAAGTGTGTTCTTCTTTTTTTACCATGAAAAAAATTTACCAATAAAATTTTGTGTTTCTAACGAAATTACGGCTACGGTATCATTGAAAATGTTGCAGAAGCGCTAAGCTTTTGCCTTTTTATCACGATATTTGAGTGTCACAAAGCATTCCGTGAAGGTCGTGAAGTCGCTAAAAACTTGCCTCATGCGAGTAGGTAATCCACATCTGTTAATAACGACAACATCGAAATAGTTAAAGAAACTGTGCTTGAAAATCGTTGTGTTGGCATCAGGCAGATGGCAGAGGATCTCAACCTCTGTTATCGACGCCGGGTAGAAGTCGTAGCTGTGACCTTATATTTTATCAAACGCATGATTACAGGTGACGAGCCAGGGGTTTATGAATATGACGTTTGAACTGTGCAACAATCTAGAAATGGCGTTTCAAAAAGGAGGAGAAACCGAAAATATCAAAATTCGAAGCCATCCCAGCCGAAGCTTATAACAAGTGTGTTCAAATATTTTACGTGAAAATATAGTTCTTTTTATCAGTCTGGGTAAAATTTTATCAGATACTTTATGCTAAGGGTAAGTTATTTATTTTAGAGATGTAACAAGTTTTCATCTGTAAAAAAAGACTTTATGTCCCAAACTATGACTTTAGTTACAAATGAAATTTCCTTTAAAACGAAAACTTTTCAATTCCTCATTTATTCACAATTTCTTTAATGAAATTATACTTAATGTCTTTATTAACTTGAAGTATTTTCATAACTCAAGCGTATGATTAAGAAGCACGGCATAACTTCTTGCTCTTATACTTCTCTTTGCACTTCCATATAAAGCAAAAAGTGCGCAAAAAGACAAAAAAAAAAATGTTTTAATAACCCGTAAGAACTTTTATGGAACAAAACCATAAATAATAAGCACAATTGGTCAGACCATGACGATTGAACAATAAACCTTATCTACCATAGTATATGTATTATATACCTCTAAGTGAGTATGCCTGGAGACAAATGAAATTTCTACAATCGAAAGCCAACTGAAGTTTTCTTGGACAAAACCACCTGCCAATCATTGTTGCTGTTGTTGTTTTATATGCCAACAGTAACCTGTAACCTTAAGTACAGTTAGCTTTTATGCTGACTTAACAGCTGGCACATGCAGAAAATTACTGAGTCAACAACGAAGTGGATATGTGCGTGTGTTTCAAAGTAAGCATTGGGAGGAGAATTGCTGATAGTTATTTGATGAACATGACGCTAAAAGGAAGGGAATTGATAGCGTTTGAGCGATTGACTCTCAGTAAGAAATTTTTAAAAGGATAAACTTGAGGTTCAGTCCTGTGCTGAATCGGACTATATTTATATCGGACTACATTTATATCGGACAAAAAACG